GTTCTTCCAATACCATAGTCCTTCAGGCTCTCTCCAACCGGGCTTCCTGCCTCCGGGGCGCATTAGACACTGCGTGCCTCGACTGCATCATTAAACGTGCCGATCGTGTGATGTCGAACGAGTCAGTTTAGATGTAACACACACACACCTCTACGAATTACACTTTGTGATGCACGCCTTGAAGGGTCGCCCATCGGCTCAGATTGAGGCCCGTTGAAAGCGATGCTGAAGCCGACCCGGGACCGTTTCTGGCAAGCTTCATGGTTTCATTGATGTACATGCAGTCAACGGTTCAGGTTCGTAGTATGTTGGATTGTAGGTCATTGAACCCCGTGCCGTTCTGTTGGAAGCGGATCTGGCGAGCCATGCATAGCAGAGGCGCCCTACGTAACAGCGGTTTAGTTGCGTTTGTTGCCGAATGGTACCAAACGATTCTGCCACGTGCTTGACCTGGAGCATGCATGCTTAGCTGGAACGGTGGGAAGCAGGATGACGACTGATACGGTTGCTGTGACAGCCTGACACGGATCATCCCACGGATTTGCCAGCACTCCACGACGGCGCTAGCTGATGATCTTGGTCATGTTGCGCACCTCATGAATCCATCCGCTTCCTGCTGGTTGTTCCCGCTGGTTCTCATGAGCACGCTCCCCTTGAGGGTCAAGGCCCTAGGCAGAGGACTGTTTACTCATGAGGGGGGGGCGTGCTCATCACCACAGATGCTGGCTAAGAGGCTCCTGCCAGCATGCGGTGTGCAGTTGTGAAGATGAGAAGAATGAACCTTGCAAACCCATTTACCCAAATTAGATGAAATGGTTTCGTATTGTCGTACCTCCGTTGCGATTGTCACACCTTGTCTTGTGTTCAGCAGTCATATTGCCCCAGCTTTATCACTAAGACATGTCAACATTCCACAACACTGATTTATGGCAAGCATCCCGGCAAGGGTCAGGGGCTGCGAATCACGTGCCTGGGTTTCTTATATCAATGGCTGAACAGGTTGAGTGCGGGTTTATGGCATAGGGATGCTGCCGGCTTTACGCCCATTGCGTGTTAGAGGAGAGTGGCCATTCTGCAAATGGCAGGATATCCGATTCAGTCAAAATCTGCGTGCGCGTCATGCTTCCAGGATTCCATGCGCATGTGGGCCGACAGTTCGTGAAGCACAACCAGAATCGCCAAGCAGACCTGGGTAGCATGTCTGACTTAAGCCCAGACGATGGTGGTGAATACAGAGGCAATCGTATGTTCGGCCATTACTGACCTGAAGTGTGGCCAGACCATCCGAATGCAAAATCCAGACTGCGCAGGCGCAGCCCGAGTACCGTGAGCGATTGGTAGCTTGGGCCGCTCAGGACTGTACACAGCTGTGCCACACTCTGCAACATTGCTGCCTTACGTCACTGTTCACGTGCAGGTCTTCGCGAACCCTTGTACTTGCTTTTCCTTGCAGGAATGCCAGAATCAGAGCGATCCGTCTGCTATTCAGAAAGCGATCCAAGAGGCAGTCGAGTCCGTGGGCTGCAGACACTGTGTGCTGCGTGGGCTATGGGCTCGCTGCATCATCACCCCAACATTGCATGAGGAATTGGGCCCATAGCAGGATGCATCGGGTAAGGCAGAAATGAGGCTCATGTCCAAATATTGATCCTCATCTGCAGCTTGGATCAGCGCTAGTACGATGGGAGTGGAAAGCGTCTGGACAGTAGGTTTGATACTTGAGGTTTGAGGGTCAGAGCTGTTGAGCTGTTAAAGCCATCTCTGAAGGCAATGAAGGTCACCCCCGCGGCAGCTGCAGCGAAAGGCCTGAATCCAAACAGAGATGAATGTCGATAAAGTCAACATCAACAGTCCTGTGTGGAGCCAAGGTGCAGGGCCCTGAGGCTGTTCCCCCAATGAGTGATACACCAAGGTCTAGGGGAGGTCGCAGAAAAGAAGAGGCAGTCCTACCCTTGCTTAGGAGGCGCAAAGAGAGCTGAGGACCTCGGAATACCAAGGATCATATAGGCTTTCTCAAGGCCCAGGTCTATCACAGGCGTCCCAAGGTGATCTGACGTTTAACCTGACCGTCTGGTGACGATCCAGATCCAAAGCTTAATCCTATCATAAGGATTGGGTGGGCTCATGAAAACTGCAGCCCCAGATGCCAGAGTCCAGCTGTGACCAGCTTTGTTCTGCCAAGCCGGTCGTGGCCAGACTGTGCCAGGTCAGCTTGCGCCGGCCAAAGCCCGCTCCTCAGCGCGCTTTGGCCAATGTTGCGCTTTGAAATTAGTTCCTGCTGGCATGTGGGTTCTTGACACCCAACCCATCAGCCCTGTTCAGTACAGAGCGTACTGAGCGTAGGGTCTACAGATGTGTCTATATTTATATGCTCTCTCTCTATATATATATATATCCATACATATACTATACATACTATACATACGGTATATACTCTAAATATATATACACCATATATCGCATCGAGGGCTTTGATGTTTGGCCGAGGGGCCCAGCGCCGCTGCAAGTCGCTCGCAACCTTCAGGCACAGAACTGCGACAGGAGGGTGCACAGAGTTCTCCCTCGACTTGTGTTTAGCGAATCTTCAAGGATCTTGGGGACCTCTTCCTGAAGGGTGAGGGTTCTGGGAAATTCTAACATCATGGCATGGTTCGATTCAATGTAGTGAGACGTATATGCGAAAGTAAATGCAAGATTTCTGCATAGACCACTTCAGCCACATGATGCCGCTCAATGGGTGTTTTGGGGTGGCTCCAAAAGCTTGCACAGAAAACGTCGCGCACTGGCCTCAGGTTCCGCACGTGCTGGCAGCTGGCTGCCAAAGGCGACTCGATGGACAGAAGGGTCGGAGCAGTTCGCCCTGCTTCCCACAAGCCACAAAAACTGTGCCGACAGCGTCAAGAAGGTGAGTTAACTGTCGTCATTCATGGAATTCTAAATTCTGCAAGTATGCCATGCCACCTTATCCCAGCAGGTCTTTGTGCGAGAGTTTAATGCGGAGGGCGATGAGGAGCGCGCCTTAAGAACGTGTCAGTGTGTGTCTGTGTGTGTGTGTGTGTGTGCGTGTGTGTGTGTGTGTGCGTGTGTCTCTCTCTCTCTGTCTGTCTCTGTCTGTCTCTGTCTGTCTCTGTCTGTCTCTGTCTGTCTCTGTCTGTCTCTGTCTGTCTCTGTCTGTCCCTGTCTGTCCCTGTCTGTCTGTCTCCGTCTGTCTCTGTCCGTCTGTCTCTGTCGGTCTGTCTCTGTCGGTCTGTCTCTGTCCATGTCTGTGTCTGTGTCTCTGTTTGTCTCTCGGTCTGGGTCTCTGTCTTTGGCTCTCTCTCTCTCTCTCTCTCTCTTTCACTCTCTGTCTCTCTCTCTCTCTCTATCTCTCTCGCTCTCTCTCACTCTCTCTCTCTCTCGCTCTCGCTCTCACTCTGTCTCTGTCTCCGTCTCTCTCTCTCTCTCTCTGGCTCTCTCTCTCTCTCTCTCTCTTTCCCTCTTTGTCCCAGTCTCTGTGTGTCCCTGACACTGTCTGTGTCTGTGTCTGTGATTGTTTGTAGGTAGTTTTGGGCATTGCTTGGAATTGTCCTGTCTCGTTGCGGTAAGGTGGAGCCAGACTCTGGTGAAGACGTGGATGCTGCAGGCCTGTCCAGTAATAAGGATGGCAAGAGCAGGCAGCACCTGAGCCCGAAAAGGCCTTTAACCAGCAATCCGAGATCGACATCAGTGGCATCCTCCCCAGCTCACAGCACATCGGGCACAGGCATGCCCAAAGGAGTTTTTCGGTGACTCGTTGCAGTTGCGACTCAATGCATTGCAGCGTTTGCACGGCTTCGCGAAGGCATAAAGCGCTCTGCGAGTGTACAGGTACTACAGGTGAGTTGCTTCCCTCTGTCAATGCACCGAGTCGGGACCCCGACAAACTTCCGTGACCTGCTTTTGGGCTAATATTCTTGTACGCGCCTGTTACTGGTAGCAGCAGAGCACTGGAGGATTCATAAACAGGCTGTTCTTATAAATTGTATGATGCCAGGCATCTGCAAGATGTCTGTCTGACTGGCAACAGCTAGCCTTACGCTGATGGAGATTGTGTGTGAGCAGACTCCAGGCGGTAACGGCAGGCAGCTCAGCGATCGAAGCCCACTCCCGGAGAGCCGGAGACGAAGCGCCGTCATTCGGAAAAGAAGCTTTGGGGCACCTCAGCTGGTCAGCCAGCTTCTCACCATTGTTCTTGCGTTGACCCGCATCCCCGCCCCTCCCCCCTTAGCATCCCGTCCCAGAGCGATGATCTTCACCGCCACAGTTCTGGAATGCTCAAGAAATTTCAAGAAATTTCTCGGGGGCACATCCCGAGCCATGCAAGATCATGAGGCATCATGAAGCAGCTCCTGGGCCCCCTGTTGCGGCAGACCCTGGGCCAGTACCTGGAGGTTGCGGAGCATGAGCTTGACCTCTCTGGACAGCTGTCCTTGAGCGCGGTGCAGCTCCGGAAGCATCTTGCAGGGCCGCTGCAGGTCTCCGGGCAAGTTGGCCTTATCTCAGCACGATGGTGCTGGTCTGAGCTGTTGCGACAGCCGGTGGTTGTGAATCTGCACGATGCCGAACTCCAGCTGCAGCTGGCAGAGGCATCAGAGGCCGAGAATCCAGTTCAGACTCCGCAGGAGCCAGAGCCCGGATTCCTTGGGAGGCTGAAGCGCCGGCTGGTGGATCAGCTAGACCTCACTGTGACCAACTGCCACCTTAGTCTCGCAGGACTCGAAGTGGTAGCTGGCGGTGCATTCAAGCGCTTCTCGGTGGCAGCTGTGCATGCGGGCGAGCAAGTTGTGGAGCTTGAGGGGCTCGAGTTGCACCTCGGACCCAGACAAACGGGAGACGTAGGCGCCAGCATTGCCGGCGCATCCTCAGCCTATCTGCCTCCACCGCCTCCACCTCCACCCTTGCCTGTGTTTCTTTGGGCGTCCCCACGCGGCCGCGCCCGTCGCTTCGCTGGGCGGCGCTTCGTCGACCTCCGTGGCTTGGACCTGGAGATTGACCTGGAGGCCGTTCAAATAGCTTGGACGCGCGTGCACGCCGAGTGCATGCTCACTCTGCTCCGGAACCTTCAGGACCTGAGGGATGGCAGAGATTTCAGAGATTGCGATTCCGACCCAGAGTTCCTCGATTGCGAAGAGAGGCCCCGTCCATCGTGGTCCGCTTGGCTGAGGTCCTGGGGAGTTTTAGGTCCAGATGAAGGCGAGATGCCGGAGCTTCCTGCAGAACTGGGAGCGTCCATGGAAGAATCACCAGTGGGTAAAGCTGAATTTAGCCTGGCATTGGCTAACCCGACCTTGATCATTGTTCTTGATAGCTCTCTTGAAGTCGAACTGAGTTGCCAGATGAGCTTCCACCTTGGTGAGCATGACGCCTGGAACCTTGATGTGCGCCTGACGCGCTTTGCCATATCGGAGCTCTTGGAGGGGAATGCCAATGTTCCGATCGGTGGGATGACGGGCTCCGATGACCTCGTCATCAACGCAGACTCACGCGACAAGACCCTATCACTGCGGAGCGCACAGCTGGAAGTGCAAATCACGCCGGCTCTTCTGCGCTGTGGCCTTTGGGCATGGCAAGCCCTTGAGAGTGCACTATTCTTAAAACCATCCTCCGAGTTCGTCTCCTGGCATGTTGCGTGGGACGTGCCGCTTACCGTCGAAATCGGAAAGCCCTGGCACTCCCGCACGCTCCTCCTGAAAGCCCGCTTCGTTTGCGACAGCGGTGCCGATTGCTCCGTCCTCACGTGTCTTCAATTGGATGAACATCAGCTGATTGAAGAGCTGGCCTTAAGCCTTCATCGGGCCAACAAACTGGTTGCCATGGCAGAGCTGATGCGGTGTCAGTGCGACATTCGCGATCTTGTAACGTTCATTCGGGTTGCGAAAACCTTGTACAACTTTCGAGACATCCTAGATGTGCCAGGGGAATCACCTCTTGAGCTCGACGTAAGGATTGACACCATAGAGATGATCCTGTTTGATCGAGACCTGGAGCTTGATTGCGAGCTTTTATGCAACAGTCTTAAATTGAGCCTCATGCAGCCAAGCGCTGCCGGGATCGTTGCAGATGATGTTAAAGTCCATGTGCGAACGGCTGGGAAGGAGGGCGGTAGTCTCCACATAGTGAGCCCTGTGATCAATGTGACCCTTCTGAAAGGCTTGGAAGCACAGCTAGAATGTGAGCTATATTGCCGCGACCCTGATTTTGAGGACGCTGCTATAGGTTGTCCATCTCTGAGGTGCATCTATGTGGAGAACGAGCGTGGCTGCAAGCTCCGGGCAATCACGCTTGACTGCAGCCTGAACTTCATAAGCTTGAGCACCACCGAGACCTTCCTTCAGCGGTGCCGACTTGCCTGTGAGTATGTGTACGACCATATCTTGGCCGCACTATTCATTGAGCCTGTCTTGCTGGAAGAAAGGCCTTTCGGTCTTTCAATTGAGGCAGCGGAGGTTGTTGCAACCCCGCAGATTTCAGCGGGATGGCTCGCAGGAAGCACAGTTTGTGGAATGGAGCCGCCCGTGACGAACCTCCTCGAAGAGCTGCAAAGTCGCCCAGTTCCACTGACATTGCTTTTCCAGAAGCCTTTGCAGAGTTGTTGCTTCACTGTGTGCATGCATCCTGTTGTCCTCAATGCCGTGGACTTTTCTGTGCAGCGTGGGATCAAGGCAAGACTTGAAAAGTCTGATATCACTTTCAAGAAGTTTCAGCAGAGCATAGAGGGATCTTGGACTGTTCTCGTGCAGAAGGTCGCCAAGCATTACCTGGCCCAAGCTGCAGCTGCTTTGCCGAAGCTGTTCTGTAATATGTCAGTTGGCGGTCTTCGTCTTTTCGACGGTACAGTCTCATCGGCTGGCACTTCGCTGGCCTTCCTACGGTTTGGTGGCACAGCCATTCCTCAGGGAGCCCTTGCTGGCACCTTGGCCAAGGCGGTGGCCTCTGCAACCAGCTCGTCTCTAGAGAAGGGCCGGGAGCTGCGGGGCGGTGACCGATACCGGTTCGGTGACCTCACACGTGGATTGGTGTCGCTGTCTTGGGAGCGTGGAGTGCGCGGCACTGCTTCGAGTGCTGCAGCACATGCCTACGATACCGGCGCGGTCTCTACCACGGCCGGGGCTTCTGTAGGTGGGGTGCTGCTTGCTCCACTTGGCCCAGTAGGGGTCACTGGTGGGATGATGGGCGGAGCCGCCGTTGGGCGCCGAGTCTCTGAAAGTGTTGGGCATCGTGCCACCGCGGTTCGAGAGTCAATTTCCCAGACCCTTGCCGAAGGCAGAGAGGCGCGGGGTGAAGGCCAGGAAGACCCCACAGTAACGGACAGTCCGGCGGGGTCTGGCTACCGCTTTGGTGACTTTACACGTGGACTTCTTCGTGCAGGGCGCGAGTCGCGAGGTGGTGAGGGCTATAAGATTGGGGATCTTACCAGAGGAGCGTGGTCCAAGATGAAGCGGTAGGCTCAACAAAGACCGTGTTGAGCAGCGATGCGTGACGGAGCAGTCAGCGGACCTATAGGCCTGAGGCCATAAAGCGGAGCATGTGGAACTGCAGTGCTTACAACTTCGCGTGGCTTCCAATTTCTGCGGCACATCTCTTGAGAAGTCTGAACCGCTGCATGCGCACTTCTCAATCTGATTGCGACATGGGCAGAGCACTCATGGCCGCATCGGGTCCCCTCACTGTGGCCACACGAAGATCAGTGAGCAAAAGGCTCGATTCGGCCTTGGAGCACAATACAGGTTCTACGTTGAACTCAAGTACGTTCATTTCTTGCTGGGAGATAGGCAGAGGAGTTGCGCCTGTTCATGGTCTCGTCTGTTCAAGTAAAAAGAGTTGAATTGACCACAAACCTTCCAATTCCAAGCGTCAACGGTGTCTTCGCTTTTGGAAGCTCCGTTGCCTTCAGCAAGGTACCATCCATGGAAGTAAACCATGCAAAGCCTTGCAAACCCGTTGCCCCCCGGACCTTCAAGGCTACACATGAGAGTGACTTTTGCCTGTCCTTGATTCGGCTCAGCCTCTGTGAAGGGGTTTCATTACACTCATGAATCAGCCAGCAAGCTTCAACTTCGAGATTCTGGCAAGAAAGGTCTTGAGCGTTAGCTTGCCTACCGGTGGGTTCCATCTGTGCAAGGTGTCGAAGGCTGAAGCACTAAACCAACACCCTAAACCCCCCCACTCCCCCCCCCCCCAGATACCCTGAACTTCCTAAGCCCTACTTGTCCTGCTTCTCGCTTAGATTTAGGACTACTTGGGTGCTGCGGAGCATCATGTATTTCTACGTCTGCATGGCAGATGACTGCTCAGCTCGCTTTTCGAAGTGGACTGTTGCGCTTGATCACATGCGCGCTTGCGAGTCCTACCAAAGGCCTGACCTCTCGGGTTTGCCGCTTGGGGTTGAGGGTCTAGGAACCCTAGAGGAACCGTAAACCCCAAATGGGCCCAACCCAGGTATGAACGGTCAGAACGGTTGCTGGAGATGTGACTGGAGCTTTGAGAAACCTTCCGCCATCTTCAGCTCCCAAAATAGTACTGTAGGATCCTCTGAAGATAAGGACCCCAATAAGGTACCCCTTATGTCGTAAACCCTCTAGAAGCCATACATGGTAGGATCGGGGAAATAAGGCCCAGTCTCCGCCCCTTCCAAAAGGACCAGACCCCCCGATGTTTATTATGAGCTTCTCAACAGCAGCCTTCCAACACGGATCCCTGAGTATTATTACAACTTAGGGTATTCTAACTGCTCTAGGAAATCCTCCTTCTCCTTGAAAGAAAAGCACTTGCCATCTTCAGATTGGTACGAGACTGTGGCGCCCCGAAGAAGCCCAAAGTCGCCGCATCAAGAGAGAAGCTGGGCCTGTAGGAACTCGAAGACGTACAAATTTGGTATATGTTTACTTAGTTTCCCGTATTATTGGTTTACCTAATCTCCCTTACGATTGGTCTAATGTGGAACCCCGCCATCAATTTATTTGAGGAAGGTTCCGGGTTCGGGTTCTTGCAAATTAAGGAAGTGGAGTTTAAGTTAATTGCCCTTTAAGAGGGCTCCAGCGAAGGAACTCGTGTTTTACAGTGATGTTGCTTTCCAAGTTTAGTTAAAGCCACCTATGATAATCACAGGGCTCTTTCTACCCGTACTGGTGAAGTCAGAAAGTTCAAGTCATTCACGCTATATCCCTGTAAGCTACACACGAGCACCGCTCCTCCCGGCGTCCTGGCTCTTGTGAAGCAACTTCGTTTTGGCACTAGTGTTTCACAGGGTCGCTACGGGTTTCTAGGGTTGCTCAGAAATTCGGTCGAGGTTACTATATCAAGGACAGACAAGCTGCACTCGTGCCCTGTTATGGTAACTTGAGCTTAGGTTCTCTGAAGCCCTGAAGCACATGTAAAGCCGCAATAACGGCATACCGTAACGGCATACCGCAGCCCAGAAAGCCTATGAGGACGAGTACTACTCAAGCCTCTTCACAGACCCTAAAATCCTAAACCCTATGTAGGAGTCTCTGAACCCTATAAGAAAGCACTAAACCCCATACTAAAAAACCCTCCACCCCCTTACAAAAGCACTACACCCCCAAGCATAAACAACCCTAAACCCGATTTCAAGAGAACTCAACCCCCCAGATTTGAAACCCTCTTGTTGTTCCTAAAGAAGAGCCCAGGAGGTTTTTTAAAAATCCTCTTCCCCCAGATTTGAAACCCCCTTGTTGTTCCTAGGAAGGCGCAAAGAGTCGAGGCGAAGCCTGGTCTGGACTTTACGCAGGATCCCGTCCACGGCGTCCTAAAGGTCAAGGCGTCTTAGGGTTTGAGTTTGGGGTTGGAGGGTTGAGGGTTTAGCTTTAGGGTTTCGGGTTTAGGGGTTTGGTTTCCTAAACCCGAAACCATCCGAAACCCTAAACGGCTCAAAGGGATTTAAGGGTCAGGGTTTGGGAGTTTAGGGGCTAGGGTTTAAAGCAGTCAGGGTGTAGGGTTTAGGAGTTGTAAGGTTAAGATCTCTGCGGTCTTGGACTTTAGGATTCCGGTTGGGGCTTCATTATCAAACATTGGTATAAGATTAAGACAGATACCCCAAGAAATGTTATGTATATACATATATGTATATCGATATTTATAGTGGAATGACAAACCCGGTTCCGTTGATTACGTTCAGATTAAGATAAGGGGTTTCCGGGTCTCCGAGAAATTCCGAGAATGTGGGTTCAGGCTGAGTGATATTTGTTATGGTATGTAGGGCTCTGGGTTCGGGCTTTGTCACGTTGATAGAGCTTAGGGCTTAGGGCTGATGATGCCTATCCACACGGGCACACGGTTGAAAGCAGGCTTACAAGGGTTTAGGTCTTAGATCTTGGCGTTTAGGGTTTACATGGTTTTGGTTCGAGGCCCCTCGGGATGAGCTGGAGATTGCTGTCGTTTTCAGACAGTGCTGGGAGGAGTTTCCTGAGAAGATGCCGGGCTCCAACAGAAAAATTGTGTCCGGAGATTGTTTCACAGTCAATTATTCCGCAGGATTCCTAAACGTAAGCATGCTCCGATATTCCCTAAAACCCTATTGAACTTGTTAATCCCCTACGTTGTATGGGCCATTCTTGGGTTTCTCCTGTTCAGGGAAAATGCCAAGTAAATGCAGTAGTAGCCTGAACAATTAGAGAAGGGACAGTAATCACTACTGTAGATCCCTCAACGCTACTGCGTTGCACACGTTTTTTCTGAAGAATTCGCCTCCCCGAAACCCCGATTCCTGTTCGAGTTGGTAAGGCTCCTATATCGGATACTTACGATCTTAGGAGCGACTATCGCGGCTTTTGGAAGCACGCGCTGGAGCATTTCAAGGAGCTTTATGGCGTCTCCTTCCAGTGCTTTGGCTACGGCAAGTTGCCGCGCTTCCTGAAGAAGCATGGTATTGCGCAGGAAGTCTTCCAACACCGCTGCCCGCACCGGAAGTGGGAGACTCAGGACTCGACGGCTTAGACACAGAGCAAGGGAAACCCTAAAACTAGCGCAAGCCCCGTAGACAGTATAGACTCTGAAGTCCTAATGCGGCCTTACATTAAACCCTCAGCCCCCCACAATATCTATCATGCTTCAATCCCAGACTTGGCAAGTCGCAGCAGAAGTCTGAAAAGCCCTCAGCCCCCCCAAATCCCAACCTTAAACCCCAAACCCAAAGCGCAAAGCGTTAAGCGCTGCACGCGAAGCTCTGACTCGAAGCAACCCCACGAGTTAACCCGGAAGCCCGAGCCGTATGGACAGGACGAGAGTCCGGAGTTCGAGGAGGAGGAACTCCGGCCGGAAGCCTCGCTAGAAACCGAGGACCCGAAGTCCTTTCCGCCATGTCCTCCAAGGACCTCGCAGAGGTTCGCTACAAAGTGCTCCGAGAAGTTTCGGGATCAGAGGCTGTAGGAGGCTTCTTCACGGGGGGGTTCTAGATCATGTTACCTGTTCGTTTTTCTACGGCCACGCGCTCACAGGCCATAGTCAGCCCAGACGAATCTGCAATCAACAGTACCTCAAAGGAAGAGCATACTCCTTTTCCCAGGTACAACAAACCCTTGGCTTAGAACACGCTCGAAGTATGTGTGAGCCACAGGGCTTGCCCCACGAAGCTTTCAGTTGATTCGATTGAAAGGCCGTAGCTGAACCCAAACCTGCAGACCCATTCCACAACATGGGCCCTTTGGCTTTCTGTAACAAGCCTTGACTCCCATAAGGGAAGAGAAGGTAACCCGTAAGACCCTGAGAATGAAGGGCATGTAGGGGGTACCTATTCCATGTTGCTCCCTTAAAAAAAAGCGCGCCCAAGAAGTCAACAGGAGCTCCGAGGCTCCGCCCCCGCAGCTGGCGCCCGCCATCGAGCAGTCCGAGGCTTCTGGGCCGCCGGGGCCCATGTTGCCAAGGAAAGCTCCTGGCCATGGTCCCTCGGAATGACAGGCACTTTTGAACTGGGGTTCAGGGTGTAGGTTTAGGGTTTAGGGCTTAGGGTTCTGGGTTTAGGGTTCAGGGTTTAGGTGAGGGTTTAGTGCTAGGTAGGTGCGGAAAAGTCATTTCAGTAAAAGGATCAGGGAAAGGCCTCTAAAAGGGGCCTGTGTCGAGGAGTTGTGGCGTAGTTTTGAAGGCTATGCGGGTGCCTGGGAGGGAGGGGCCATGACTTGGGGAGTCTGGGTTTGGGGGTTTTTAGGGCTGGGTTTTAAGGAGTTCTGGGTTTGGGGCTTGAGGGTTTCGCAGTTGGAGCTTAGGGCTGCGTTGGAAACGCGCGCTTCACATGGGGCTTCCCTAGAGATGGAGGTTGCCGTTGGTTTTGCTTATAAATATCAAAGGCTTCCGAAACTCAAGCTGCGGCCCAAAAAGACAAGACCGGGGAGGGCTGTTGGGTAGATCATCATGGAGACTGACGACTACTCTAAGCGATGTGCGAGGCTCCGAAAATCGTAGGGGGGAGGCTGGCACTGGCATGCTCTCGCCAAGATGTGGAACAGAGCCGCTTGCTCTGAAAAAGGCAAACATGATGCCACCTGGAAGCTTGAACAGTCCAGCTGTCTCAAGGCACCAACCAAAGGATTGCAAGAAACATTCCTAGCTGCCAAGAGCTAATCCTACTGCCAAACCTCTCAAACCCATCAGTCCGAGGTTCTCATCCTTACGCCAGACCGAAGCCTTCAGTGGCTCCATCTAAGCACTTACCAGCCGAACAGTGCTCTGGCGCGCCGGGCGCAAACTGAAGCAATCCTTCGGTCTCACATACAGGGGCATGTAGGGCTTAGGGTTTACTAGGGCTTTGGCTCTAGTTGGGGCAGGCTTCGTGTTGAAGGGGCATCTTCAACCGGACCAGCACGCAGCGAAGAAAAGTCGCTGCTCTGCTCCGCACTGCACCGATCGTTTCCGCGTCTCGCCGTTGGTTCCCTCTGTTTGTCTTGGGCCCCCAGGCTCTCGCAGTCATAACATGTTATATCCACCCGGAGCTTAAGTCTTAAACGAGGCCTGCTCGTAAGGCATCTGCAATCCCAAGCTCACGGCCTTGGTTGTGGAACAATCTGATTTGCTTGAATCGTGGATGTCTTGGCGTTTGGTGCTTGGTATTTTTATTTCCGAAGCCAATATTCACAATCTGGAGTGCCAGCACATCGTTGTATCAGCAGGCCCGTAATTAGAGGCTCCAAGTTCACGGGCAACTCCCCGTAATTTCTAAGATAAAACCCTGAAAGCTTAAGGCCCTACGGTCTTTTCAGCTGAGGCATAGGCTTGAAGCATGGGGCGAAAAGAAGTGTTGGCAGAGAGGCTCCTTCCTACCCCTTGCATCGAGAGCCAGCTTGTAACACCACTATATGGCGATTGCCCCAGCCGCAGCAGTTTGAGATTTTGACAGGTCGCAACGAACACAAGCGAAATTGGCTTCAGCAAGAACGGGACAGCAGTGCTCTCGTGTAGGGCTGCATTGTTTTGTCAGGCTTTGGTTGGGGAATTTGTGGCTCAAAAGATCGAAACCACCAGCGAACTCGACGTCTCCGACGCTTCCACCATGTCCTTGTGCCAGGCATCTGCCTCAGATCCTCGGCGGCGAAAATCGTGATGCCGTAGCCGGGGGTTGGCTGCGCGACGGCTTCGCTCCTTGTCAGACAAGTTCAGAACTACTGGTTTGCTGAGGTCTGGCTGTCTATTGCTTGCGAGCACCGTGTAGGCGAATCTGTACTTGGGGGATCTTGGGACTTCGTAAGTAAGGCTCTACGTACCTTAATTCGGGTTGGAAGTACTCATACATGTAATTGCCTTAGTTATGACCCTAGTTGCTAACTCCCATGATCCGAAGAGTGGCACCAAAGAAGTCGCTCGTACGAGCTGGAGCCAAGTTTGTCTCCAGCCGCTAGATGTGCAATCGCGAAGCCAAGTCCACCACTACAGCTTCGTATTCTGTTCCAATCAAGCTGTCTTGAGAGACCGTTTTAGCCCAGGCGGGCATTGCGTCGTCACGTCCTGGGGCCCAGGCCCGTGGGCTACTTGAAGCCAAAGGTGCCTCTTAGGAGATGAAGCTGCTTTAGGATATCAGGGGTCTATACTGTTTTTCTGCCAGAATGCCTTTGCCTCTCAATGTAGCAAGCTGGCAGCCAGTAAGCACTCGATAAGTTTTGGAGGATGGCCAGACTCGCGCTATGCGCTTCTGTTGGAGTGCTGGCTCTTGGCATGAAAACTTTCTCTGACGAGAGGTCAGCATATGCTGCCCAAATGGGCAACATAACCAACATGATGGTTCAGAACCTCCAACGTTCGAAAGGCTACGACGCTGTCTTCTTTCGCGGCTGCCTCGACTTCGTGGAGAAGCAGGCCAATGAGAGCATTCCGGTGGTGGCTCAAGTGGAACTTCTCGGGGCTGCGTGCAAGTCCGGAAGTTTCGGCGGGGACGGTGGCGACGTTCTCAGCGTGGTGGATCCAAGCAAGCTTGCTTCCGAGTGTGACCGGGCCGTTCGCAACATGGACTTGCAAACTCGTCTTCTCGGGCCGGACGCATTTCGGGACTCCAGCGCTTTCTGTGCTGTGTTTGTCGACCTCGTGCTTCCCATTGATGCGGAGCCGAAATGCATGCGCTTTGTGGAGGACATATCCTTGGTTCATGCCGAGTTCTCTGGCACTCAGCACGTTTGGCCAGCAATCATTGCTCAGCACCACTTTGACGAGGCTTTCATGCGTGTCTGCTTGGAGGACTGGCTGGTGCGATTTATCTAGAATCAAGCTAAGTAGCACGAAATGATTCAACAAGGCCATCCGCATGAAGCCATCAGCATGTCAAGTTCAAGCGCTAAATTGCTATAGCCGCTATGCTCCTGACGAACTCTTTGTAGGAGTTAGGGGAGCTGTTGTGTCAACGTGTGCAGTGCCAGTGTCAGGAGAAGCAGTTGAAGGCTGAGGAGCAGGGTCACGCTGGTCTCTGGGGAGCAGGTTCTGACGAGTGCAAGATGGTACTGGAGCGAGTGCTTGCTTACAGCTGGGCGAAGTATCACAAGCTGGTCGACTTCTTCGCAGATGCGTGCCCCTTAATGGGTATGCCGCTGCCGCTTCCTGGTAACCGCACGTTTGCTGATCCATTGAGAGTCACAAGGCGTGCCGTGACTGCCTCTCTCTTCCACCGTGCATCCCACATTGCTCTCGCTAAGCATGGGGGAAACGTGTCCTCCCCAGATGTGTCCCACTTGTTTGGGCCAAGCAGCGGCTTTAGTGCCATGCAGCTGATGGATTCCACAATGGCGAAGAAAGGATCCAGTTCCCGTCGCCGGAGGTCCGATCCGCGACGTCGTCGTAGCCGCCGCCGTCGCTGCACAATGACCGACGAGGCATCGGCTTGCTGCAGTGGGAAAGCTTACTCGTGGAGTCACGGGGTGGAGTTTGGAGCTATCATCACGATCACCCAGTCAGGCAGTCTCACAGCAGGTGGCTTTGAAGAGTGGACACCAGCCAGGTCGGGCGAAATTGAACAGACGTGTGTGCACAAGAAGGCCGCAATCCGCGAGTCCTGCTTCAACTTCGGTTTCGATTTTGGTGTGGACTATGGCTTTGCCCACGGATGGTTCAACAAGTTCAGTGACATACTGGGTACGGCCCGCATATGGGAGTTTGGCTTCTGCTTCGGTATTTGTCTCGGAGGTGGCGTCATTGACACCGGCAAGCTTGGTGACGTTATCGGGGGGACAATCGAGTTCGGTGCTGGCAGCCCCAGCATTGAAGGCAGCTGTGGCCAATGCGAGGCTTGGCTTTCTGACGGTGAAGGAAGTGAAGACACCACCTACTTCAGAGAGCTTAAGTGCCCAAGTGGCTGCTTCCCTGCAGATGCAAAGGTGATGACCCCTGCTGGCCCCAAGGCTATGCATTCGCTGCGAGTTGGAGATCGTGTTCTCAGCATGGATAAGCACGGCCGCACTTTCTTTGATGACGTCTACTTCTTCGGCCATGCAGATCCCAAAGCCTTCACACCCATGGTGCAACTGCGCTTGAGATCCTCGCAGTCTGACCAACATCTCAGCCTTCAGCTGTCCCCTGATCATTTCGTCCATGCCTGTCCCCGCAAGTACCCTTGCGAATGGAGCGAGTCACGCTTGCTTTATGCGGGTGAGGTTCTGCCTGGTGCGTTTCTGTGGACAGCTGAAGGATGGCTCGCGCAAGTCCTCAACAGCAGCCTGGTCCCGAAGCTTGGCCTCTTCAACCCATACACGCTTTCAGGGACCCTCGTGGTGAATGGAATGGTGGTCAGTGCTCACAGCAGCTGGCTGCTTGATGATTGGGTACCTCCAAGGCTCACTGAGTATCTCCCGTTTCTTTACCAGGGCATCTTCATCGGTGGCCGTTGCCTCTACCACACTTTCGGCTCATCAGCAGCTGATTGGATCGGAGTGAACAACCCGCATGAGCAAACACCTTGGCTGGCATATCTTGTGGCGATTTTTCCATGTTTCGCTTTGCTCTGTACAGCTTGGGGATTCAGGGTCCAGTGTTGCCGGAAGCATCCCCCCACCTTTGAAAACCAACAAATAGGGGAAAAAACCCGAGCTTCGGAGGCAAGGATCCGACAGCACAAGGACTCTCTCTGACTGCATCGTGCCACTTCCGCGGCCTTTAGCTGTGGCTGGGCACCTGACATGCTTTTTCAATGCCGAAGCAGAAAAATGATGGCGTCGGGAGCCTGTGATGATTTGTCTCTGCTGGGCCCCAACCAAGGTGCTTGCACTTCCAAACTGAAGTCAGCATTACATGATTACATGATTGCCAAATCCATGCCTTCCTTGAAGGGCCTAGTCCTATCTGTATGTCTCACAGCGGAACGATCAAGGCCCTGTGACGAAGGTGGGCGGAGAGCCCATGCTGTGCAGTGGCAGCAGAGACCCTGAAGCTCTGGCAGCTGCAGGCCGGAGCAGGAATCCCCTGCTGAAGTTTGTCCCCCACCTCAGATGCAGAAAGCTTTGAAAGTCCGATTCTGAGCTCCTTCCAGCGTGCCTCGGGGCTTGTCAATGTGATATCGACAAAAGAAAATGAAATTTCACTTGTAAATTATCTCTACGGAAGGTAATATCCTCTGAAAATGCACTTTTGATCGCTTGCTATGTGCGCTCTAACGCGCATGCCACGTGGAAGCCACGCTATAACTGGATGCTAGGAGTCATCTCGAGATTCCTCCAGGAGTGCTTGAGCTAACGATGCGATATGATTTGCAGGATGACCCCCGTGCGCAGGTTCCGTCATGTGAGTCGTGGCAACTGCACTGTATATAACTCTGATACTCTCACTTACTTGTGAAGTGTTTTTCTTGATTGTATTTGGGATCCATATCGAGAGAAATGTCTCATTTTTGGGTCCCCTCCTCGAGTCGGATAGTTTTCGTCATTTGGCTACGAGCATTTCTTTTCTCCGGGGTCTAATTCGGGATGGTGGTGGG